ACGTAGTCTCGGATTTGTTGCACCACTTGAAGCAACAATTCGCAGAAGCGATTTGACAAATCAGTCCGTTCGTGTTGGTCATTGTTTGTTTTCAGCCAGCCGCGGTGGATGAATCCGTCGTGAAACGCCATTATCGGTGTTGTGTGTTGTTGTGTGTAGGCAGGAAGTGCCATCGAGCAACACACCCAATTTGGAACCCCGGCACCACCCAGCAGCACGGTATGATCGTTATCATCGCCGTCGTTCAGGTTCATTCGGCACACACAAACAGCAGCATGGAACCATGAACAAGAAGGGACGTGGGCGGACCACATCGGGGGAACAGCGGAGTTAACTACATTTAGTTGTTGACAGATTGACGGATATCATTATCCTGAACCTCCGTTCGACGATACCTCAATATTGACGCATAGTCAACAGAAATTCTCTCCTCCTCATATGTGAATCTGTTTTGCAGAAACGCCAAGGTGTACAATACGCCGATGAACTGCGCACATGCACAACCGCCCCGTGCCCCTACCCCAACTCCGATCGTTTCCAACCTTTTACTTCGTCGTCCTTCTTGCTACTTTGAAGACGGAAGTACTTCTCTCTGTTGTACGACGACGTGATCATGTCCGACCGCCACCAACAGCAAAAAGGACAACAGCCGGAAACTACTGTGTGCTTACTCGGGTTGGTACAGGTCCCGGCAGCGATCATGATGACGTTGCGGTGCGCCAGTGGTGGGGCTAGTTTCTGGATCACGAAGGGGCCCTGCAGCTGCACCGAGGGGTTGTCCGTGTCCTGCTTGCGCCGTGCAGCGAACAGGAAGATGACCCCTGCTCGAGCCATTTCCAACAACGTTGATGTGCTTACCGTCCTCGCCTCAACTCTAGATACAATTTCCCGCAAAGTTCCTATTCCCGCCACGGTTCACTGTTTTTCGACCGTCTGTCAAGATTCCGTGGATCTCCTTCACCTTCGACGCGTACGACTCTGACACTCTAACAATCAACTCTTGCCTTCCTCCATACCTGGCTACCGGTTAGGTTCGTCGCACCCTGCGAGAGGATCTGGGCCATGTCGTGGTTGTGGAGCAACCGACAGCTATCAACGCGTTAGTGCATGGTGCCAACTTGTTCTGGAGTTACAGCCACCTCGACATCATTGCTGCAGCTCTCACCACCATCGATGGCTTCGTCTCAGGGGATTTTTCACGTGCAGTTGTGGGCTACAACCGTACAGCCATCGCACCACAAAACACAAGCGTTGAACAGCATACGCCCGTCCAACACATCACCAACCGAGAGCGTGAAAGCTCTCGGCCTTCCTCACGCCTGCGACCGTACATCTCCTGGAGTGTCTAAGTGACCGTTGTCGTTGAAAAACACCAAACATGACACCAATTACGGCAACGGATCGGCCCTTGTGTTGCAGAGGAACATGTGCCATGCAATCTTCCAGTGTTCGATGTCACTGTTGACGAGGGAAAGCATGTGCCGCGACAGAAGGGATTTCGGGGGCACGGCGGAGAGAAAGCCTGCGGCGAAAATCTGACTCCGCCGGAGTCACGAAAGGAGTGCTTGTTGACACGCGAAAAGAAGCGAGGGGTTCACAATCATCGCAGCATATCAACGTCTCTAACCACCTCCGCCTATAGATTCACCTTCGCGGGACTCTCGAGAAGCTTGCTCATGGCGCCGTCGGTGTACAGCCTGATGCGCATTTCTATGCACAACACCCCCTCCTTTGTCTCGCCAGCGGGGACAACCTTAAGCGTCCCCGGTCCCTTGTCGCTTCCTTGTGAGAGCCCCCCCATCATCGCTCCCGGGGTCGGGGACTCGCTGGTATCTTGCACCCTTACGGCGTACGCGTTGTACGATCGCTGGACCACTGCCTACCGTTCCATTCCGATAGAGTGAATAACAAATCGATGTCGAGGGTAGCGGTTTTGTGACAGATCATGCTGAGTGAGCGCGGTGGACAATCTCGATGATCGTGGGGGATGCATCGGATAGACAAATTCTACATGGGTAATGTCGGGTGCTGTCTACCCGAAGTGCAGAAATCGATATATTATGCTTTGGCCAGGACGGCGTATTTTCGGCCGTGGCGCGACCATTGAGTGACTGCCCTGTACTCGTTGTCATCTGATTTGGGGGTCCCCTGCTATCTGGGAGAAAATACTCTTTGTTCCCGACGAGGCGGTCTGGCGTGCGCCAACGTTTCTTAGTCCTGAACACACCCCGGGGCGTTTGGTGTGCGCCCCACAGGAATACACTTTGGACAAAAACCTGCTGCAGACGTTTTCTCCGAACTGCTTCGATCATATCGCCTTTCGCCGAATGCTTCTTCTGTCCAAACAGAAAGGTAGACTGATCATGTCGATTGAGGACGGAGTCCACATGACCTCGAACTGAGCACGACGAACTTTTTCTAGACGGGGGGGCTGACCGCCATCGATCCAAAGACGGTGAGCGCGGGCAACCGGCGGCCATATTGTTGTTTCAAAACACAGAACAAGATTGTCTCTGTCCGTGGATCACAGTTCACGAACATTTCCCGACAATGTTGAAACTACCTGAAGATGAGGTATACTTCTTTCAGCACGCGATATCTTGCATGTACAAACATTGGGACGATTTTCAACGTTATCCAAACACGATATCTGACGCCGTGGACAGTGGAGTTCCTGCCTGTACGATTAACCAAACTTCGGAGAAGCGGATGTAAACCCTTCCCTTTCGCCGAAGACTGATCTACCCTCGCTTGTCAAATAACAAAAAAGAGTCGAATGCCTCTGGTTGCGTGTACCGGACCGTCGACCGGGGCTTACATGTCCTTTCTCCTGAGCCCGCATGTTGAAATAGCAGACCCCGGCGATTGACTCCGCCTGAGGTGATGCATTGTTCATCGGCACCGCCGGCCACCCGCAGTAACAGTTGGAGCAATGACGCAAGGGCGGGCGGGGGGCAGTCCAATGCCTGAGGTTGCTTGTGCAAGGTGGGTACCAAGCATGTAGATCGATCACCGTGGTGTATTCTACACAACACCACTAATATCAAACAACACTGACTGCAGCACCAGCAACAACATCAGCAATGTGACAAACGAAAACAACCGCAGCAGCAGCAACATCGGCAACGTGAGCAATAACGCACCAGAATCTGAGCTTGGCCGGGGCACAGGAATATGTACCGGTACACTGGGCGGGAGGTGGGCAGGTAGCCTCGCCTGAAAGAGCTGACGGCCCCCATCCAAAGCAGGGGGCACACGTGAAAACGCTCCAGGGACCGCCCGTTGTCAGAGGTGCTCCTCTTCGGAAGGACACGGCGAAGAGGCTGATCGATAGAACAATGTCGAGACGGAGGAGAATGAGCATTATTACACTCTATATGAGCGCACGACCGGGCAGCGGGAGCCTTCGCAACGTGTTTGCGTCTTCACCCGGTGATTACCATCGGCATGGCTCCTGGCCGTGCCATGCATCGACATCTCGTTTTCCCCACCTTCCCCACAATCCTGGCCTTTTGGGTTCGGTGGAAGCTTAACACACCAGATTCTTAGCCGATCATCTTTCCATCTCTAGCAACGGGTCTCCTAAGCCATGCCCTGCACTCTGCGTCCGACAAAATACGGATATGTATGCCTACACCATGATAATTTCATGAGGTTCAGTCCGCGGGGAGGGCGGTTCCGGTGACCGAATCGCCGCCAACAACGTTCTTCTGGGCGGGAGTAAAATGCCCCACGCTCAGGAATCTATCGATACTGCTGCTGTCCTAACACAGGCCTTTGCCAACGAACGACCCGCCTTGTCCGTCCCCTCGAGCGCTGGCCAAGGGGCAATACAAGGCAGGGACGTGGTGAATCAAGGGTGGATAGATACCATGTGTACACACCGCTCCCATCTCCTGGGGTGATGTCCTTCCGGGAGCGCCCGCAACATCCACCATCCCTGTAGAAATGGTCGCCAGCCCATTCAACCGCTTTGCCTTAGCGGACTGGGTGGGTGGACAAGGCGGGCCAGCCGACGAACAGACCGACAGACCGACAGAGAGACAGACAGACAGAGAGACAGACAGACAGAGAGACAGACAGAGAGACAGACAGACAGACAGACAGGCGGACAGACAAACAGACAGACAGACGGACGGACCAAAATGGCAGATTAATGTTCCTACACACAACCACGCAAAAGGACCGAGAGGCAGGCAGGAAGGCGGAAAAGGCAGCACATCGGAGCATCCAGAAGATCGACTAGCTAGGGGACTTCGGTTCAAGTGGCGGAATAGCCAGTCTGGCTTCATAATCTAAAATTTGTGCCACGTGGGGACTTGGCACGCCTGGGGTAGGTTCATGAACTACTTCATTGGGTGATAGGCAACGGTTTTATCTGAAGGCTTTTCGGAACCTGTCTGGTCTTTCCAAGGCATCTCCGCTAAAGACGGACCGGATGGACCCCCTCGTGCCATGGCCGACTGTCCGGCGATGGTGAACGTGTTCTTTTCCGCAGCCTTCCGTGCCGCGGAGGACGGCTTGCCGCCATCAACATTTTCGCTGCCGTCGTCTTCCTCTTGTTCATCATCCTCATCGATGTAGCCAATCACCAGCCCTTTCAGGATAGTCCAGGCTCTCTGCACATGGGGAATCGCCATCCAGAAGGCAGTAAGAGTATGACATCCGAACGCAGATATTCTGTTCGCCACGCTGTTGTAGCGTGTGGGTGGAGGCGCCGTTCAATGTGGCATATTCTACGAAATGGGTTAGTTCTTGCTTTTTCGATGTGCCTGTTGGAACCTCCCCGTAGACCTCTTGGGTGTGGGGCGCCCGCCGGCGCGCTCGACGATAAACATCACCACCAACATTGACGACGACACATACGACATTCTCGTCTAACTGTTTACACAGGAGTGCATTTCCCGTTTGTCGAAAAAAAAAGTACGCTTCTCATTCGTTTGGCTGACCTCGCTGTGAACGTGCGGAGAGAAGGACATGGCGTGCCCCACAGACATGTCTTAGCCGAGGATCTCGGCGGTCACGTCCGTGCCCAGGGCGTTGAGGATAAGGCGCCGGCCCCCCGGGTGCCGGGCCGCGAACTCGGACACGTCCAGGATAGCGCTGTCCACGAACAACCAGCTCTGACTGTTCAGCACCTGGCGAGCCAAGGCGAAGGGAGGAAAGGCGATCGAACCGATTGTTCGCACCGAATGTTTCGACGGACTTAAGAAGGCAGGCCCCTAACCCCTCTCCGCCCCTTCAGAGTCCAGAAACGTTCCGTTGCTTGCGGAACACGTATCTACCCAAACACCGCTCCCCACCTTTTCGTTAAACTCTGCGAGACTGTACATGGGTAAGTCCTCGGTTCTGGGCACAAGCCTCTGGTATTGCGGTACTCCGTTCTCATCGGCATCACCCTCGCCGTCGTGCCGCTCATTGATGATCTCCACACACCCTGCCGATGATGAATGCCATCGTTACCAACATGAGAGGCGGATACGACAAAGTACATTTTTTCTCATTCGTGATATTTTTAGGTTTCACCATTTCTTACTCCTGGGCAATTGGAACGCCACCTGAGTATAGCCAGGTATTGGGGGCCCTCGTGCTGCCTACGGTGGTAGCAACGTTTCCCCCTCATGCATTCCTCCCTTCCTTGCCCCATCCGCCCTCCTTTGCTGGTTTCTAGTCTCTGCATCCTTCTCTCCCCTCTCTCGGTTCTCTCTCCCGCACCAGCTGAGAATATCATAGTTCGATGGTCACCCACGTCGCGTGATCGTTCACAAAATAGTGAAAACGCTTTCACATGCATACACTATTTGGCACACTTGCCTAGAGGGTCACGAATATACGCCCTTCACACTATCGTACTCTACCGTCGACTTCAGGTCTCAGCGCTTTCGAAAAATCCAACTATGGCCTCACCCCGAAGCACGGGCCAACTACTGCAAGAGAGTTTCATCAATAACCAACCTAAAATATTGGCTGATCCCTTCTTGAAGAAGCGGCGGCACTTCTTCCTTGTCTCGAGGTACAGAAAAATCAGCGCGATCAGCCCTAACCACGCCGGGACCTTTTCGTACACGAACCCGAAGCTGCCCAGCTGAGGTTTAGAGTTGGGATATATTCAAGAGGAAGGGTGCAACAGGCTTGCAAGGACGAATCGTGCAGTATTATGAATATTCCTAGTTGCGTAATGACGAGTCAGTGTGCGTTGCGAATGGAATTGAACCTGCCCAAAGGTACTCCCTGGATCGGATTATTAGTGGTTAGGACTACATAATACAGAAGAAAACTACCACACGTTTTTGGGACGCGCGTTCGTCGTGGATTTCAGCGCATTCACTACAGTACCGCCACTCTCGTTGCCAGTATTCAATATCCCCACCACCTTTCGGCGGGTATCTTCAGTCCTGCGGCGTTTGTTGTGAGGAACGCCATCTAGCTCAAATCCTCTGTGTGTGTTTCTTCAGCTTTGCTAACCGGCTGACCAATGAAAAGACGTCAGGTTCATTGAGGGAGAAAACACAGAATGCTTCTAAAGGCCACAATACCCTGTGACCGAGCGTCATGGTGGAGTCTACGTTACTCTCTGGATCAAATACACCATGGCAATAACAGAAAAAAACTGCACATCTCTTCGTCCCATCTATTCTGGCGCCGGTTTTACAGGCCTTTCGGCGTGTTGGGTAATGAGAGTAAACATTGCTTCTTCAAAGGGTCCGGACTCGGTTTCACTCCCGGCACTTGGGACACCCAGCCCCTGCCAATGCATGTCATGGGCTAGAGTGAAAGAGTAAACAACGATCATTTTCCATTTGGGCCTACGTAGATACCACCATGCACGTGTCAGTTTGGGCCGAACATGACCTTTTTTCGATAGCTGGGGGTCGTGAAAAACGCATTAATGAAGGATGAAGGTTTTCTGTGTCCGAAGTCCCGGGGTGTGAAGCCACAGGTCCTCACTCCAAGCACAGGTTTCTCTGGTTGGATCGCTTCACAACTATGAAAATGCGGGGCGTCTCCGCAGAAAGATCTTTTTCACTTTCGGCTCCGACGTGGCTCCTTCGTCGATAAAATACACAAACAAGTACGCATATGCATCTGACACCAAAAACTGTGAGTTTCCAGTATTATTTCAGAATTGGATGTGGAGATTCTGCGAACCAATGTGACACACAAGTTCTTCCGATCTTCCACAGTGCCTTGTATTCGAAAGCTCTGGCACCGGAATGTACCGTGCGGACTGCGTATTATTTCGCACATGAGAATTTTTTCGCACATGAGAAAACAGGAGGAGATTACTGTAGGTCTCAAAGATCAATCTAACCTTCCCTATATTGAGCCGCGGAAATCACACCAAGTTGAACAACGTACGAGGTGCTACACATGCGATCACTTCATCGTGTCAGGTCGGGGCTATTGATCCACGGGCCTCTTCGTTGGAATATTTTGGAGGTCCGGAAGTAGAGTCACTGTAGAATGAAGACTAATTGCAACAATATTTTTCGTTGCTGTGAGCGCCTGAGCGCCGGTAACTCTATCGGCCTGTCCGCCTTGTCAAAGTTAAGTTTTCATTGACGGCAAAAATAACAGACGTCCAAAAACAAATAAAAATATCGTCTCAAGGAGTCACTCTCCCTCCGCTCTCTGCCCCACTTTGCGTTCAAACGTCTCCGCCGCCGTGGTGGTGGTAGCGAGCACACGAGCACAAATGATCAACTTTGGAACGGCGAGGTGGAGGTTCCTGCTTTTGATTTCTGCCCGTGGGCAGCCTCTCTGGTATGTGACGGGGCATCCCACCAGCGTAGAATGTCTTCAGAATGTTAGAATTTTCACCCTCTGACCTGAGCCGGTTGCCCCGGGAGTCTGCAAGTCGTACCCACCGTAGTAGGTACCCTTGCAACCGTCTAGTACCCAGGGTCTGGGGTTCGGGTCCCGGCGTACGCGAGATTTTCTCGAAATATATGAGTGGAAGGCGCTACATAATTTTGCAGTTCGTGCGTGCGCTTTGTGGGAAAGAGCATGCACTCTTCTCGCGATGAGAATAGCGAAGGCGATAACCAGGGTAGGAGGCCATCAGGAGGAGGAATCCTTCAGTGCAACCACGGATTCTCCATGAATAAATATAGCAGCCGTTCGTAGCACAACCCAAAACAATAAATAAAGCAAGGGGCGCCCGAAAAAGTTATCCCGCACACACACCCCCGGACAAAAATTGCGAGAAAAGATGATTCCACCCCCCCCTTAATTTTTGTGAATATTTTCATCGCAGGTGCGCATTCAACAGGGCACCCGTCAAACCTCTCACACCAACCCGCCGTACACCGATGAAAAGGTATTTCGCACAACAATGCGCCTGAAACGCTCGCACTAATCACGAACGTGTTGGGAGAAACCTTGTTGAGGGCCAGTTATTTCCCCGGTGAATGTGAGGATGCCAAGGGCTGAGGGCTAAGTAACGAGCAGAGTTTGTGCATGGAATATTCCGCCCGTGCACGTGGGATGTACACGTGCGGATTCCTCGCCTTCGCGAGATCGTCACGCGTCCGTTGCCTGGTCTCAAGGACGCTCGATCTTGGGTCACGACAACTTATGCGTGCGAGATTTTTGCCACACGGTGGCACGGAAAATCAGAAGTGGGTGGGTACTGAGATAATACGCAATGAAGATAGACACCCGAATATTTGGACCAAAGCTGAACGAGTGGGATTACTATAGGCCAGCAACTGAAAATAACGGGGGTGACCAACCAAATTGAGAACCAATCTCCCCGAAAACACCAAAAATACCGGTATTGGGCAACAAAGAGTAACAATTTAGCACCTGGCTACAGCATCGGACTGAACCGAAACCTGGAACTACTCTCCATCGTAGCCTCGAGAAGGCCCTTCACAGCGTGAAAAACACCTTCACAGGACTTCTATCCAAGTAACGCCTCTATCTTCTCAAAAAAGCTCTATCTAGGAGGACAGAAGGAACCGATGCAGGCGCACCTACATTCATAACTACTGCTGCCGGCTCGAGGGAATTCCCCCCGCCTTGGCACACGGAGAAATGGGGCGGAACAATCGGTGAGATGGGGCGGAACAACATCGACGTGGCCGGTGCGAGGCGTACGGCCGTCACATCAAGGGGTCCCCAACCTCGGGAAACTGGGCGGCGGCACCCACACAACCCTTGCGCTTGGTGTAGAATATGAGCCGTACCGGTGAGCAGCGCAAGCCGACATTCAGCCGTTCATAAATGGAAGCTTAGACGCTAAATATTCCGCATTTCCACGTTATGCGTGAACCTCTCTATCGGACCACAATAGCACTGTACTTCAATAGGCTAATTGTGATCGCCCAAGCGTTACCGACTATTCGTTGGCCGTTGGCGGCAAATTGCAAACTGTCCGCGCCCAACTTACAGAATAAGGCACTCTGCATAGAAGATACGGGCTACTGCGCAAACACACACAAGCACAGTGCACACGCGGCGCACAAGACATCTAATCACCGCATGTACAGAAACAAGAGAACCGACCGTTTCCGCCTTTCGTTATCTACTCGCCGTTCGGCGAGACCGGTTGGGGAGCAGCCCCGTGTGCCCCTAGAGACCCACAACATATTTTACATCGGTCTCAGAGCAATAGGGTTCCCTACGAAACTGAACCATGTGTACTCCGTTAGGGGGAACCCAATACTGTAGGCTCGAGCTTTCCACTTAGAGGGACAAAATCATATCTGTTCTTGCGATGATACCATCGCAGTGCAAAGTACATATGCATATGTACGTTGAAGTAAAATATACCAGAATACAGATGAACACAAGTCTGACCGAGCCGACGAAATTGGATGACGAAGAAACGACACGGGGGGACAAGAGATGAATTCAAGAACTTGAGGCTACAACAATAAAATTTCCCTCTCTCTAGGCCTCCCCGAAAAGCGAGAGAAGATGAGGCGTGGTGAAGGGGGCTTTCTACCTTGGTCAGTGCGTCGCAGAAGAGGGAACAAGGCGTGTACAGCGACATTCCATCCGAGAAACACCGGCCGAAAACACTCTCGATGCATCGCCAGCAAACTCGCAATGTGTTCCAGCCATCCTCCCCGCCAAGCTCAACGGCCTCCGATCTGCTTCCCAGCCTTGGGCTGCAGGAGGGCGGAGTAGTTGAGCGCCAGGAGGCGGACCCACTCGTCGAACGTAAGGGCGTTGTTCTTGTCCAGGTCGGCCTGGCAAAGCCATCGTGCATCGCGTTGTCGTTGGCGGGTTCAATCAGTTTCAAGCGCGAAACAGGAGCGAGGCAGAGGTGAGGCCAGGCGCCACATGATCAGGGGATATACACTCCATCAAGGCTGGCAGGAAG